ACCAACAAATGGCTCCGAGCAACACCAGAGACTCTCCCATCTCAATGCCGTCCACCAGAGACAGACACAAAGTAAGTCCTGCTTCTCTTTTGTTCCTTCTCTCTGCGGCTCTTCTGACCCAGCTCCCCCTCCCTCATTGTTCTGTCCCCCCTAACAGCTGAGGAAGCCGGCGGTGGAGAAGATGCGCAGAGATCGCATCAACGGCTGCATCGAGCAGCTCAAGGTTCTGCTGGAGGAGGAGTTCCACGAGCGGGACCCCAACGCCAAGCTGGAGAAGGCCGACGTCCTGGAGATGACGGTGGGGTTCCTGAAGCGGCAGCTGAGGCTGCGTCCTCGGGTCTCGGTCGATCACGTGGCGGCCCACGGTGACGGCTACTCCCGCTGCTGGGAGGACACGCTGCACTTCCTCTCCACCGGCTCCCCGGAGGAGGCGACACCTCCACTGCGTCTCTGGTACACGCATGACGCACCGGCCCTCTCCACGCACAGCCACGTCCAGGCTGCAGCGAAGCCGCCGCCGCCCGGCACCGACAGGGCGGTGTGGAGGCCCTGGTAGTGGAGCTGGATCAACACCCGGATCATCAAAGCCCCCGTAGGAGACTGAGCTTCATCGTTTCCTCCTCTTTAATTCTGGAGACTTTTTAAAGATGTCTTCATATTGAAGGAAAGAAAGACGATCAGTTTGTGCTCCGTTGACGCACTTTTTTAATCCTCCTGTTTTCCTGTGAGGACTGTTTTGTAGAGACAGTGTCGTCATATGTCGTCATACGGTGTCGTCATGTGAACGGTGTCGTCATGTGAACGGTGTCGTCATGTGAACCGTGTCGTCATGTGTCGTCATGTGTCGTCATGTGGGGTCATGTGTCGTCATGTGTCGTCATGTGGGGTCATGTGTTGTCATGTGTCGTCATGTGTCGTCATGTGAACAGTGTTGTCATGTGTCGTCATGTGTTGTCATGTGTCGTCGTATGTCGTCATGTGAACAGTGTTGTCATGTGTCTTCATGTTTCGTCATGTGTCGTCATGTGAACG